TCAAAACACTGTCTTAACAGACAAAAACGAATAAATAACCAAAAATACAAATTTCCTAACATAAAAAAATTAAACAACAAATCTTTTAACAAAAATTAACACACACAGAGGAATAAATAAATGACATCCGACATTCACATCTATCAGCAATTAAACAGCCGTCATGCAGAAATCAAACGTCTTTTGTCCACATACTTGCCAACCTATGACACTCAAAAATCAGGAGATTTTTTTAAGAAATCGGGAGATTTTTCACAATGTTAAAAAGACTTTATATGATGAAAATATAGTTTTTAATAATGAATTAATTTTAAATAGTAACTAATCTTAAATGCAAAGCAACACAAAAAATACATTACACATAAAAAACATTTTAATTACTTGCATCGTTTAAGAAAACGAAAAAAAAAAAAAACTTTAATCAGTTTTCGTACAAATGTTATAAACAGTGGCAGATTTTGCTTTCTTTAAGAAAGAAACGTCATAATTTTGTTCATAGCAATTGCCATGTAGGCCTGCTTTCGCTAATAAAAGTTTTTCTAATGTGTCATCACGAATATTAGATCTAAATTTAGTCCTCGTTTTCGCAACAACACTGAAAATCCTCTCACAATTACTATGGGGAACTGTCAAGATGGCCAACATAATTCTAGACAGTTCACTATATTTCAAAATTCCATCAGCATCTTTCAGTTTTCTAATTAAACTCCACTGGGTGTCAATCTTAGCTGATTTTATAACTTCATCCAAGTTCTCTAATTGTAAACTGCTGTTATGCAGCTGTTGGAATTGTTTTAATTTTTCCTTCCTTTTCAAGAACTCTTTTCAGGCTAATAATAAATATCAACAATGTGTTCATCCACACATATTGGGTAAAAAAAAAGCTGCCCCTTTTTTTCAGCTGCTCAATTTAAGGGGTGACAGGTGCACCTCATAATCTGCAAATCTGAATTTTCCTAAGATGCCTGCAACACCAGTATTCAAGCCTACCAATACCGGTTCCTACAAATAATAGGAACGCCTATCACCGGTTCCTTATAACGCACAAAGGAGCGGTTAATTCAATCTCCAGCATCATGAATACCATCGCGGCATTGGGCACAGACCTTTGCCTACCGTGCTAAAATGACGCTCTGGTGTACTGACGATAAGCTCTAAGACTAGTCCAGTGAATTTTACAATATCTGGGCTTCACCACAACTGTGTGTTTAAGTTCCCCTGTCCACAATCTAAAGTGGCAATACTAACAATTCGCAAATATGTGGCATCTCCTTAGTGAGATGTGTTATGGCTCCATAATGATACGTGTGTAATCCCTTCAACAGCATGTGAACAAGCATCTTCTTATGGAGTGTTAGTGAACGCTTGTGTGCCTCACGGTGCACACATTGCTGGGGCACTGCCCAATAATTAGTGCTACAACATCCTCGTGCCTTTTTATCAGTGGTTTTTATCTATGTTCTTAGCGCGACGCTACAATAATCAACGCCTTAGCAATCTAACCGCACTCTTCTGCACACATGAGTATTCCATGAACTCATCATTCTTCATTCAAGATGTACCTGTATTTATATACAACAGAACTGCCTTACACTAACATTGTGCTCCAGCTTTCATGTGACTTCATGTACTCCATTTATCTTTTTGTGTGCCTTAAGTGACTATGTGTATGTACCTGTTTTTTTTTTTTTTTTTTTGTGCTCTCTGTTTATGCATTTTACGCATTGTGCTTTGTGTATTGTTTGCCTATGCATTTTTTATGTCTTTTTTATGCGACGTCTTATTATCCAAGTAATTTTAGTTTAACTACCTACCTATCTGTAACACCACAAGCTTGCCTCTTCAATCTGTAATACAATCCTACTAATGCCCTTGTAAGGCCATGTACTTCCCTTTGACAACCTCAATAATCTCCTGGTGCGGCCTCGTGTGGTTCCAGGAAGCTCTTGCCGTAGTTAGAGGAGGGCTTGGAACACATGCCTGTTTACCTCTGTTAGACACCAGGCGTTCCAGTCCTCCGTAACCTACCTACCTACCTACCAATACCGGTGTATTATCAGCACCAAGTGCTAAGCAATTAACCAGAGGGACTACATTTTCTTTTAAAGTTTTAATAATTAGCTGTGGTATATTAAAGCCTGTCAAATGTCCTTCTAAAGTGGGGACAGAAAGTAAACTGCACTCAATTTCTGAAGACTCTGGATTATAAAAAGAAACAACAATTGGATACAGTTTTGAATTGGTATTATTGCTGCCATCCATAGAGAGGCAGAACGGAGCTGTTTTATTGCAATCAATAACTGATGATTTATTTTTCAAACCCATTTCTTTAACAATTGCACCTGTTTTGGTTCTTGCACTTGAATATTTCTTAGCGATCTCACTATCGGAAAACATTTTTCAAATAAAGCTGCAGCGTGATCCGATGCATTCAGTGGCAGGTTGTACTCCTGCAAAAAGGCAGAGAACAGACATTCTGCATTAATAACTTTTTGGTCCCTCTGTTTCCTGAAACAAAATTTAATTTAATTTTTTTTTTTTTTCAAAACAAACTCATGTTGTTCCTTGTGTTTTTGTGTACGCAGATGTTTGAGAACATCCATGCCCTTCCACCATGCGAAATCGAAAAAATCGCAAGGACAGGGCGGTACACATCCGCAAATTTATTACATTTCCTTGAGGAAATAATGGAAGGAAAGTCAACTATGTAGGATTTTTGAAACGTACACGAGTATTTCACCTTTCTCACAGACATAACAAAAGATGATAATTTCTAAAACTATTTCCCGAAGGCATGTGTACTCACACAACTCAGGACAAAATGACCGAAATAACTAAAGAACATCCAAATAACAGTTTGCGTTGTCCTCATTGGCTAACATATGCCAGATGACACGCAGTGGAGCACGATGCCCATTGGAGAACTGGAGAACGACCTTTCTGGATATATATATGCTCTCACTCACAAAGCAGAATATCTAATTCGCAAGGTTTTGTTTTAGATATAAGCTAGAGAAAATTCAATTGCTTTCAGACGTCCAAAATCACTTTTTTTTTTTTTTTGTTCATATAACAAAGCATTAAGCCAAGTTCCATAAAAATCGTGAGAAATTTTAAGAATAAGAAAAAGTCGGGAGAAATATATTGTAAATTGGGTTGGCGGGAGAGCGGTCGAAAATCGGGAGAGTTGGCAACTCTGTGTCCATTATCCAACTCGTACAAAAACCTCAAAGTCACAATTTCATCATAATCTAATACATCAACATTCATCCTCTTACTTATCTCATATTTACTTACATTCATCCTCTTACTTACTTACACATTCTGAAAGGATGGTACCCACAGCAAAATTCAAAGTAAAACTATAGCAAAGTCAAAATATAAGAACAACACAGGTGCAAGCAAATGCAGCAATTGAAAAGAATGGTAAGGGAAAAAAATCGTGGTCCATACAAAAGGGTTACTATTACAAAAAAATAGCCAAAATCTGCATTTATCACAGAAATAACCCCTTTTTAACGATAAAAATTTCTCCAGGGCTAGTTTCACCAACGTCATCAACAGTGGGGTTATCGAAAAATCTTTTTCGTGCAGCGGGCTTTTAGATTTGGGGAACAACCAATACTCCTTGTTGATTTTTTGGGGTACCGTAGAATAAAGATTAGCTGGCAAGCATCATCATCCATAAGGAGGAAATCAGGTCCAACTGCTACAATGCAGTCTCACAATAAGGTAAAGGCTTCATTCTGGTGCCATGCAGTCATCACAGAACTGTCTTTAAAAAAGTGCAGCTGGGTATGATACCTCTGAAAAATTCTAGCCGACACCATTATGCTGCCGCCTCTGAATGTGCAAAGTTCGATGATGCTTTGGACCTGTTTACAGGTATGTCATTCTTTTCAGATTCATACCTGTTTATTTATTCCAGGATAAATCTGGACTCATTCATAAACAGAACATGTCATCAATTTGTCCAACTGAGATGTTAAATGGCACCAATAGACTGGATGTTTAGTAGAACATAAATCTTGGTACTCAGGCATACAGTTCCTTTATGTGAAGATTTGGTGCTCAGTACTCTCAGATATTTTACCACATGATGCAGCAACCAAGGATATAACAGTTTTGGAGGTCACTTGCCAATTCCGCTTGGCTACTATAGCAATATTCTGAACTTCAGAAAGGATGGTAACACTTGGTAAGCCTGGCACAGGTCTCCAGACAATTGTTTTACTCATCCAGACTTGTTTCCAAATTCAAGAAATTACTGAATGATCAATGCCAAAGAAAAGACTGAGGTTCTTCAGTTGACTATGCTGCTTCAATGTGTCCGCCAGCACTCGTTATCTGCCATTTGTCTTTTTTCAGCCATAGAAACAGGAACCCACTAAAAAAATTATACTAAAAAGTTATAAACATTTTGTATCAGCATTTAAACGAACTCTTCAAACTCTTCAGAATGTTGCTGTCTTCAACATAATTAGTATATGTTTGTACAATTATTCATGACTGGCTGTAACATATTACATTTGCATATTGGAGTTTCCATTCACAGCAATTTTCAGATACTCAAATTCATAAAAGCTTTTCAAAGTTGCCAATTTACATTGTTTGCTTAACTTCTAGAAGACAGTGTTTTTGAATTCACTGCATGCTAATTCTAGCCCATGCTTTACTGACTTCACAGCATTAATATAGTGATTCTGAGTGAGTAGATTTAAGAGGCTGACATATCATTCAGCTGTGCATCTGCCAGGATTTCTCATGAACCTACAGTAGTTTATTCCTATTCGGATGCAGAGACATGTTAGAGCACATAAATGAATTTGAACATTCTTGATATGGCTCATTTAACCAAGAAAGGTCATGTAGATCAGTTAAAAGGAAAAAAGCAATGTAACAGAAAAGTTTTTTAAGGTCATTAAATGTGCCTTTTCTGATATTAAAATACAATCTGAAATTAAATTACTAATTCTGAATTTTTTTAGATATGTTATTACCTGAAGCTGGATCATTATTTGGAATACAAGTGTGATACTCCCGAGACAGTCCTTCAGATACAAGCTATCAGAAAAAGAAGGAAAAAATAAATGAAAAACATAATAAAATAATATAGGAACACTGCGCCAAAAAAGAAGGGGTGGTCAGTTCTATATCTCTCGTTCTACTAGGCCAATTGACGAAATTCAAATTTTGTTTCTCATGTCTCGAAAGCGTGACTTAGGTTATATTAGATTTATATATAGCATTGTTCTAATATAGGTATTTTGACACAAAATCTAACTTTTTCTGAAATGACATACCAAATTTTTTCCATATTTCGATTCTACGACTCAAATTTTGCCAAACTGCCAAGTTTTGTAAAAATCCCACAAGTAGTTTTTAAAAATTTACTTGTAAAAAAATTACAGTTTTTTATTCAAAATTTCCGAAGATATATGCAAGTTTATATATTGGCACATTTTGAAATTTGGCATATTTGTTGAAAGCTATATAACATCAAATGTGGTTTAGACACTTTGTTAAAATTATTTGAAAGCAGAAACGCTGTGACTTTTTTCCACCCCTGCACAATGGAAGGGTAAGGAAAACAGGTTGCTAAGTGAATTATTCTTGGGGCAAACTGAAAAAAAATCGGCAAGATGAATTTTTTAATTTCTCTGTAAATTTCGCACCAAATTTTACAAAATTTAATATTTACACATCTTTTGAGTCATAGCATCAAAATATGGAAAACTGGCATTTCATTTCAGAAAAAGTTGGATTTTGTGTCAAAATACTTATATCAGAACAATGCTATATATAAATCTAATACATATCCTAAGTCGCACTTTCGAGACATGAAAAACGCAGTTTGAATTTCATCAATCCTCCCAAGTAGAGCGGGATATATAGAACCATCCCCCCTTTTTTTGCACAGTAAACATGTACATAGCAAATCATCATACATATATACATATACATATATATATCACCTATTAATTGACTAATAGCAATTTGCTGTTTATTTTATTTTGTACATTTGCCTAACCAGGGCTAGTTTGTACAGCTTTTTCTTACACCATTAATGCGTTTCTCATTTTCCTTTAACAAGCGGACGAGTCGGGAAATGAAGCAGAGAAATTGAGACTTAAGTTTTTATCTAGGTTATTTTATCGGTTAAATAATCAAAAAGTTTCGTGCAAAGTCTCGATTCTTCTGTTTTGACGAAATGCGATATGCATCACTAAAATAGATAGAAAAACCCAAAAATTTTTCTTCCCAAATTTGTAAATGTGTTTGTGAACAGTCTCTAAAGTTAGCAATGAGTTCATGACTTTTCTCTAGTGTATAATCATAAAGTACCGAATTCTACAGTAATAGAAAAAATCTGTTTTCTACGAGATTTCAGCACGTAAAACTAAACTTTATTCATTTTTTTTTTATTTTATTGCCATAAAGGAATTTATACAAACAAGGAACCCTATGAGTTTTAATTAACAGAAATGTCAAATTTAATAAATTTATAGAAAATAACAGAAATGTTTATTTTCAGATCAAAATTAAACATTACGTCATCTACACAATATATAAACTTGCAAAGCACTCACCAATGCTATTGCTACACTTTTATGAAATCAGTAAAACTATGAGGGGTGTTTTTTAAATAAGGGCCATTTGAAAATAAAAATCAAATGAAAGAAAATTTTCAAAAACAAAATTTATTTTCAGATTCTACCATACGTTTCTGTATTTTTCAACATAGTTGCCAAGTTTGTTTAAACATTTATAATATCTTAGAACTAGATTTTGAATACAGTCCTTATAGAAACTTGCCATCTACTCCAATAACCAAGAGATCACGGCCATTTTCCCGTCGTGAATTGTCTGTTCTCAATAATTTTCACTTCAACTGAAACCACCATATCATCTTTGATCACAGATAGACGACCAGAGCGGGATTCATCATTTTCCCTGAATTTTTTGGTCAATTTCCAAATTCCCTGGACTTTTTCCGGTTTTCCAGGTAGCGTGGCAACCCTGTACATTGCTTCCGAAACTGCTGTTGCAAAAATTGTGGAAAGTGGAAATTGCACGGGGTGATGAATTGTCTCCAAATAATGTAAATACATTTTTGGTACAACTCTAATACAGTCAAAAGTCGTTAATCCGGACTCGTCGGGACTTCGGCGATTCCAGATTATCGATTTTTCCGGATTATAGATCATCAGTTTAAATCTCGTAAGATGGCATGCAGAAATTCTAAAATTAAAAATATGAAACAGTAATTTATAAAATAAAGAACAATTATGATCTAAAGGGTATCAAAATTTACAAAAAAAAAAAAAAAAAAAAAAAGCTTAATATTTATTTGTTTACTTTATTAAACATTTCTCTTAATGTAAGTTGTTTAAGTTGCTTCATTTTATGTGATAATACTTTCTCTTTAATTCTATAAAAAGATATAATTTCTTGTTCAGTTACAAAGTTCCGCTGTTCAAGTCCCGTTAATTGCTGTGCTGACAATACCGACTAACTTGTCAATCGAAATTTTTTCGTTTTCACTAACCTCTCTGTCACATTCTTCATGTCTTTATCCATTTTTGCAGCAATTCAACTTTTTGTTTGTTGGACATCGAAACATACTTTCGTTTTGTAGATCCTTTCGAAGTTCCAGCATCGGAAATTCTATTTGACATAATCGAAAGTTCAAGTTTACTTTTATAAAATTGCTCTTACAGTCTGCAAAAAATAATAAGCGGGATCCAATTTGAAGATTAAGGAACAAAGCAATCATTAACATCAACTGAAATAGATAATTAGATAATTTTAGCTTACACCGTCCGTTATACATTAAACGTGCAGGCGAAAACGTATTCTGCACTTGCGCACACGCATATGCGCAGTAGTCAAGGTCTTACACGCACGGGTAAAACGCCTGTGCGCATGTGCCAACGCAGCGCATGCGCAAAAAGTTTTTAGCTTTGAGGTCTGGATTATAGATCATTCCGGATTATGGGTGTCCGAATTAACGACTTTTGACTGTATACGCCGTAATTTCACCAAATGTGGCGATATGTGTTCTGCACTGGTTTTGGCACGATTGCGTGTTTTGGCAACCCTGTTGACATTGAAAAATCTTTCGCTGGAGCTCGTTGATTCGCCTCTGTGTCTGAGAAATGGGAGGGAAAGATAAAATGGTAGTTGTTGAATTGAAGTTCAGCAAAAGGAAATATCATTGTGGCTATCCTGTTGAGAGGTAGTGGGTATTTGGAAGTGTGGAAAGAGGGTCTGGGAGATTATTTTTAATGGCAGTGCATGACAGAAGTAGGGATTTGTGATTTTATTTATTTGTGAACCATAGTATAAATTTCTGGATAGTGTGTCTGGCTGTCATGTAAATACGATAGTGGTTACGTGGCGGCATGTTAAAGGCGGTATGAAATTTATATTTCTGCTATTCGAAAACGCATTAATTCATGGTAAGTGCATTTTATTTTATCCTTGTTCTTATTTTGTAGTAGAATGTTATGTTCATTGGTTCTTTAGTATGAATTTCTGTCGTTATTGTTGTTTTTTTTAATTGTTTGAAATTTATTTTAGTTTATTTTGTTGTTTAGTGTCTAGACTGTGCAATTCGTAGATGTTTTTTAAAGTTGAAACAGAACGCTGTGTACATGGTATTATTTGAAATTTATTGTTATGTTATTTTATTAAAACGAGGAGTGCGTAGATCGTAGATTCCTTCCTTGCCTAAATTGTGCAATTCGTAGAATTTTTTTTAAGTTTAAACAGGATGCTGTGTACATGGTATTCTTTGAAATTTATTGTTATGTTAATTTATTAAAGCGAGGTGTGCGTAGTTTGTAGATTCGTTTGTTGCCTACATTGTGCCATTCGTAGATTTTTTTTAAGTTAAAACATGTTGTTGTGTACATGGATTCTTGTCAAATATTTTTGGTTAGAAACTTTACGTTTTTGTTATCTAAATTTTTTTGTTTTTGTGTCGTATTTTTAGCTAAATTGCATGTTGAAACGTAGTTTTTGCATTTGCGAAAACCGTGTTTTTGGAGACATTTTAGGCTAAAAGTTCGAAATGTAGACAAAAAATTTAGATAGTAATATGGCAGTGTGAAGTTTCTCGCCAAAAATATTTGGTGCGAAATTTGGTGACTTGAGGGCTCATATCAGAGTAGTTCCACATTTTTGAACTGGTTTAAAGAACTTAATGTTTGAAAGATGTTACTTTGCCTCGATACTTGGTTATTAATGACACGTCTGAACTACATGTGTTTGTGGATGCTTGCAAGGAGACGTTGTAGAGTGTGTCTTTGTTCAATCAGTACTGTAAGGGCCCTTTTTTTCGCGAGCCCGCCGTAATCGCGAAAATTTAAGCCTCGCAAAATACTTTTTTTTTCCAACTTTCTCAACTTTACTTTGGTACTTTTGAAATTTTTCAACTTTTGGTTCTGTTCATATAAAATTCGCGAAATCACCGATATATTCATTTTTGCAAAAATTACGGCCCACGAAAATAAGGGCCTTTATAGTATTTAATTCTAAGGTAAAAATAAATCTCGTACAGGCGAAGTCTAGAGTTATCGCCTTTGAAACCTTTAAGCATTCCTCACTTAGAATTAATGACCTGTTGTATAGGTTCTAGACTTGCAAATTCTATTATCAAGGCTCTCAGTTTGCCCGACTTAAAAGTTACCCTCTGGTCTGATTTTACCACTGCCCTTTGGTGGATAACAGAGCAAGGAAATTGGTCCGTTTTCATCGAAAATAGGGTTAAAGAGATTCGAGAGTTGACGCGAGGTCATTCATGGAGACATGTCCCAGAGAAACTGAATATTGCCGACTTTTTATCGCGCAGATGTTTTGCGAAGCAAATGCTTTGGTCTAGATGGTGGGAAGGCCCCTTGTGGTTCCAAGCAGGCCCTGAAAGCTGGCCCACTGGTGAGATTATTTGTTTGCATGAAGAAGTAGAATTGGAGAGGGAAAAGATAAAAATAGTGAATATTGATCTATCAAAAGATGCACCCCCTTGGCATCGAATCAATGTATCCAATTATGATAAAATA